TATGAAATTGATTTAGGGTTTCATTTAGGGAAATTAAGGTTTGAAATTTTGGGTTTTTTGCATAATTTATTTAAATTGAAGTGACATGGCATCCTGATGGTGTTGTAGCTGAGGTGGCATATGCCACGTAGGATGACACATCATGAAATAAGAGAATGGTGTAAAAAGATAAATGGAAACGAAATATTACTCACCATTCAAACAATAAAGAAATAATAATACCTAAAAGAAAATACAAATAAGATGCATAAAGTTTAAATAGCACACAAATGACGATCACAATTAGCTTCCCAAAAACTGCCTTGTAAGTGGAATCTTATTAATTAATTTAACAAACAAACCAAAGTGGATATCCATACAAAAAATTTAATTATTTCGGCAGCTCAAAAACTTCCTTCACCATCCGCCTTGGCCCTTGTTCCTTGTTGCCTATTGAATTCTTCTATCACACTGCATAACGCTAGTTTCTGTAAACTGGAGGGTGTGCTTCACCAACTCCTCGATTGGACCAATCACAGTGCCATCGTTTGGTGCATAAAACATGGCCAATGACATTTTTGGTTGCGCTTTGTTGGTCGAGTAATACTACATATACATCATTCTCATGCAATATTTCTCATACAATATTATGTAACAAGATATAATTGGTTAATTTAAAGTTAAAATTAAACTTTCACCCAATCATATCTTGTTACATAATGTTATATGAGAATAATGTATGTGTAGTATTATTCTTGTTGGTCACACAACTCTGTACTGCACTCTTGTATCTTCCATTACTCCAAACCTACATACAGAGAATTAAAATGACCAGACATGCTACTTACGCGAAGTTTTGTCCTAATTTCAACCACTTTAATCTTAAAAAGAAAAGAACGCAAAATGTAACTTTGGGAATTTGCAGTCCAATTAATTTTTGGAACTTGGAAACACGTTTTAAAAAAAAATTCTAGAGATTCATAAACATTTTAGATCACCATCTGTTATATAATCAGCTTTTATTTTATGGTTTGTTGGATATATGTACACTGAAAAATACAATATTTACAACTCAATCTTACAACATTCTCCTATAAACCTAACGTGTCAGCAGATTGACACTGTTACGTCAGCTTCTATTACATCCAAGACACCAAAAGACAGTACTAGAAATGAACGATCGTTCCTTCAAAAGAAACAGTCGTTACTTATGAAAGAACGACCGTTCATAAGGAATGATTGTTCCTTAAAGAACAACCAAAGGAACAGTAATTCCTTTCATAAGGAATGATTGTTCCCTACATTAGGAATGGTTGTTCCTTATTTATGAACAATCATTCTTTTGGTTGTTCCTTCATAAAGAACAAACATTCCTTTTATGACGAACGACCATTTCTTCGGTCTAGTCAAAATCATTTTGACGTGACAATGCCAACTCAATTACCATGTCGGGGGTTGTAAGAGAAGTTTACGAGAAAAGATTGTTGGCATGCCATTGAGAAATTTTTTTCTATTAATGTTTTTAATTAATCAATTGATATGACAAGGAAAAAGTCAATATACCACACAACACAAACTCTACTCTACAGAGTTTAAATCCCGAGACTGAGGTGGATTTTCTGATAAAAGATGGCTAAGATCTTCTTTAGGATGCCATGTTTGAGAGAAGAAGCCATAATCCTCACAAACTTACAATATTTTCTGTAATAATGGAGAGGAGAATCACCATTTTCACTGGCATGAATTTGATCATTCAAGTCGATGATGGGAATTGTGGTGGAAGTTAGGAGAATGAAATTGGGAGGAACAGAAAGAGGAGTGTGTTGGTGTTGCAGGTAAACTGGAAGGTGGCTGTTTCCATGAAAAACTAGAGGAACAAAGGGCTGATAACAGATTGGCTTTATAAGAATATGAGAGTTGAAGAAGTCGAAACAATAAATGACAATAGAAACTGTGAAGAAATGATTAATGAAATAATTGACACTTAAGAAGCTAAGAAAATATTATGATAGCCCACCAGACGCTATAGAAAACAAATATACATAGGTGGAGAAAATCTTGGACATAAAAGTATTTACATCTATGCAATGTATCTTTTTCTCTCTCTTTCATTTATTTTAATATCGAGTCGCCTCTATTAGTTTATCTATTTATTTTTAAATTCACTAACAAAATTTAATTCATTACCCGAAGTTAAATTATAGAGAATAATATGTTGCAAAAGAAACAATAAATAGCAAAAAAAACATACAGAATGTAAATACAAACACAGTTTTACAATGAAAGCAGTGAAATACTAACATGAGGGTGCCTGTAGCCGAAGCATAGCGTTGAGTATCGGAGTTGAATTAAGTGAGTTTTCGCCACAGAGATGCTTTGGAAACTGATAAGGACTTCAACTTTGGGAAAAGGAAACCAGGCTTCGGTGGATTTCCATTAACAAGAGTATTCTCATAGATTTCTTTACACTCTAGTACAACCTCCTTTGCATCCTTCCGTGGTATGCCCTCTCGGAGTGCAACAAGCTTCTCCACAACCTCTGGCGGACAGTCAGGTTGATGTTCAAGAATATTCGTGTAGATTAGTGTAAAGGTGTCCAGGCTCTCTGCTGAAGCAAGTTCTCTTAAATCACTCAGTGCCCTAACTCTTGTTTCAACTTTATTGACACTTATATACTCCCTAAAGAAGTCCATAATAACCTCTTCATCTAGTCTCATTCGTTCAATGGTTTCCTCCTTGATGTAGTTTTTCTGTGTTAAAAGATTATCAACATAAGCAACCACTGTTTCCTCCAAGCAAGCTTCAACGAATCTCCTAAATGATCTCTCTTCAATGTACATCTTCACATCTATAAAATAATCACCAAATGTTGCAACTAGGTACTCAGTGACATTTCCTTCACACCATTCTTTCTGATAAAGCTTGATAATTAAATCTTGCACCCCAGGATCTTCAAAGATAACACTCACAGTTCGGAGCACAGCTTCCTTTGCAACCTCTAGAAAACCTTTGCAAGTGTCTTCAAAATTAACCTGCTCAGCATAATTTGATGGAAGAGCTTCCATGGTGCTAGTACTCAGCTCCATCGCAAGATCATAGCAGCGCAAATTGTTGTTTATCATTGCACATAAAGGTTCCAGACCAATTTCAGAAGCAGGTTCTGCAAGTCTCTCCCTTTCAGCTGCCTGGAAATCAATCATTACCTGAATTATGGCCAAAGCAATCCTGTATAGCATTACATCAGTGCTATTATCCCTAACAATTTGCACTTGTTCCCCGAGGATCCTGAACAAATCAACAGCGGCTGGAGTATATAGCTTTCCATCTTCAGTTTTCTTTGGAGGCTGTACTTTATCAGCCCCAAGGATGTTTAAGTACCATTTTTTGGTTGTAGCTTGCATTCTCTCAACATATGCATTCATCAGTGGATCCATGGCACCACTCTCAGAACAAACTTGAGCAAGAGAGTCATCAACCCCAAGGCCAATTAAATTATCTTGGTATTCAACTACCCAGCCAGTCACCTTTAAAATCTCTATATTCGTCAGTTCAGTTGCCCTGTCACTAAGCAATCTCAACATCTGAATAAATCTCTCTGTATACGAGTTTACCATCAGCTGGAAAATTTCATATCTTGGAGGAAAACATGGGGCCACATAGTCATATATATCTCCAAGCTCTTCTCCGATCGTTCGTGCTTCCTCCAGAGCTGCTTTTAGGTCTGAAAAAACAAACTCTTTAAGAAGCTTATTGAACCGTTCTTCAACCGTCTTCCTTATTTGCTCATAGCATTTATCCTTATAGCCTTTACCTTGAACCTTTAACTTCTGCTGTGTCAAGTTCTTGGAAGATCTGCGAGGATTTGCAATTGCTGCCATTGCACCGCCTCCCTCAGCTTCAGCAGCTTCCTCAGCAAGTTGCTGATCAAGAATTTCTTGCATTTCAACAACCCTCAAAGCACGAACCAAAGTTTGTGGGCTTTCTTTTGAAAGTTTATAGAAGTTGGAAATATGACCCCATAATGTCTTCTCAAATGTCTCCCAAGTTTCATCAACATCTTCGAAATATTCTCTTAATTTGCCAACCTCATCTGGATGAGACGCAGCAGCGGCTAATGCAAATCTCCTTTTCCCATCAAGTGCTGTTAACCTTTCATAAGTATTAACGAGTTCTTTATCATCAGTCAAAGACTCCCGCGCCTCAGCTGCTTCAACAGAAATAGACATCATACCTTCAACATCCTTCAGTGTTGTACTCAAGTTATTCCTCGCGTTGCTAAGGAGCTTAATCTGATCATGATTATCTATCAAATTTTGGCATTCTTGACAGTACTTTTCAATTGAAATGAAGTTCTCACGAAGCTGGGTTATCGCCTTCTCAGACAGGGCAAGTGATTCCAAACCACTCTGTGCCTGTTCAATTTGATCCGCCACCATTGTACTAAGTTGCGCATCATTTGCCTGTTGTCGCGCGATGTAATCGGCTTTCATGTCGGTGATTGACTGGAGAAGCTCCGGAAGAGTTAAGAGCTTCGCGACCTCTCGAACCGCTGCTTCCTTAGCTTCCACGCCCAGATCTTCACTCATCATCTCGCTCATTTCTTCTGTTAAATTGAGTCAATTATCACCGGATCTAGTACCTTCTGTTGAATTGAGTCAATTATCACCAGATCTCGTTCTTCCTCACCCGAAAAAAAGAAGTCTTATTTTAATAATAAATATCTAATTAAATAAAGTCGGGTGATGAATAAAGATAAAATAGCTTAAGAAGACAAAAGATAACCCCAATTGGGAGGCGGATTGATTGATTAATGGGTGGGTCCGGTCCATCGTCTCAATGCCCAACCATGGGGATATCATAAAGCATGTTTCGTGGTCCACACAGCACAGGGCCCAAAAGTATAAGATCGTGCTCCACACAACAGGCCCCAAAAGTTTAAGACCATAAATATGGAGATTACTTCAAAGTTTTATATAACCATCAACACTAATAACAGACTGCTACATCATCGTAAACATATATTACTTGTAAATTTTCTCTCTTAATTAATAAATTAATAATAATTTAACATGTATGGCATGCATCAACTTGCGGTACAACATCTAACGCCCTGATACCCTGTACTTTCTCAAAATGAGACAGTTTGTTAATCTGCTAAAAGACTCCAATTTCTGTGCCTAAATTACAAGTAATGAGCCACCTTTAAAGACTCTCACAACCCATACTGGTCAGGATTTATTAGCTCCAAACAGTATATAGGGGCCAAAAGCCATCTCATCAATGGTACGTGTGACAATTTTCGTAGTTGTGATTTAATTTTAGTACTTCAAAATCATAACTGCTGATCCAAATACGGATCGCTTGAAGCATTTCCTCCTCCCAGATATCCTCCAACACTAGAAACTCCCGAAACAAAGTTGGTCATCAGGGAAGTTCCCCATGACAGCCATCCAGTCTGATCTTGTTGCTGCTTGTTCGCTTCATGCGTGCTTGTCTGGTGTGCCTCGGCTAAAAGATCAAGCCACCTCTTTGCCATAAAATCCTTGACAGCCTCAACTCCTTTATTCACAATGTCTGTTGGGGGAGTAACGAGTGGATTCTGTTCCAGGTTGAGCTTGGTAAGATTTTCAAGCCTGAAAAATGTGTCAGGAAGAGCTCGTATTTGGTTATTGCTGACATCGAACTCCCTGAGGTTGATTAGATCACCAAGAGTTTCAGGAAGCTCCGTCAAGTCACTAAAATTACTGCCCAGGTTCACAACTTCGAGATTTGTCAATCTCCCAATTACATGTGGCAGGCCATGAAGCTCATTGAAATGAACATCCAGGTATTTCAGAGACCTCATTTCACAAATAGATAGGGGAAGAAAGCGGATCTTATTCAACTGAATTGAGAACCTCTCAAGATTCAGTAGTCCATATCCCATATTTGCAGGCAAGAATGCCAAATTGTTGAAGCTTGCATCTAACTCCACTAGTGAACTGTGAAAGTAAGTATCAACCAATGTTCAGAGGCAAACCAGGTGAATCCACAAAAAAAGATGCCTTCCAAGATCAGTAGCAGGAAAGAAAACCTGGTACAAAAGAAAACAGATTCTCATAAAATACCTGCAGCCGGCAATGCTTTCAGGAAGGTTATTTAGCTTGTTTCCTGACACATTGAGGACCTTCAAACTAAGCAACAATCCAATAGAGTCGGGCAGCGATTCTAGCAGGTTGGAAGAAACGTCAAGCTCTTCAAGTTTCTTTAATCCAGCTATCGAGTCAGGAATGACCTGTTTCACGCATTATAAACCAGATATTGTTAAGGAACAATATCAAGGAACTCTATATGCCCGCAGCATATAAGATACTCCCCTCATTGACTGAGAAATGGAATAATTTTTTATAAATCAGCTCCTTGTACGTCTCAATTTGGTATATTGTGATCTAAAGTAATTGAAACTACTAAAGACTGCATGTACTCACATGAATTTTATGAGATGCCTACACAGTTTTAAAAATTTTGAAACCAACAATTCGAAAATTGGAATATGACCAACATCTTCTTCAAGTATTATATCAAAATACTTTACGCCAAAACAAAAGTAGTGATGAACCAGCGCATCATTTTATACAGAGAAAGAAGCTAGATCCTTCTTGGGAAAGTCACATAGCAACCCTAACTCTCAACGTTTAGCTCATGAAATTTCAGCTAAGTAATTTTGGAATTGCCCAAATAGGATGAAAATAACAACAGGACAAAATTTTGTCTACCATATAAAATCCCATCCATGTGATCCCATTGGAGTACCTAAATCTTTTAACAAATACAAAAAGAAGACATTCATGTAACGTCACTCACAGCAAATAAACCATCCAAGTTTAGCAATATCTTTATCCCTAAACACAACCCCAGATTTCAAGCAGTTCAAGCATTTCTTCGACCAATAGATCGAACTGGAACAAAGATAAATTTCAATATCACAAGTTCACACATCCCAGTCTCTTTTACTTTCTCACAAACAAACAATTGCTCAAATTAAAAATTTTAAAATATATATAAAAAAAATTAACCTAAACTTATACAAATCAGAATATGAATGAGAAAATTAATGTTACCTTCAATTCATTGCGAGAAAGATTAAGCACAAGCAACCCATGAAGCTTTCCAAAATCCTCAGGCAAAAACCTCAACTGACGTTCAACGAGCTCAATTCTCTCCACAACAACACCGCTCTTCGCTTCCCTCAGTATCTTCACCACGTCCCCATCCACATCTTCCAACTCGCCCACTACCGACCCGTAAACCCGATCCAGCATCTCCTCCGCTTCTCTCAATTTAGTCCCGTACTCTTCATGCATCTCCTCCAATCTCACAACCGCCTTGTACACCTCAACGTCCGGTGACGACGAAGCCGTTGCATGGATCTGGGCAATCTTGGATCGGGCAATAGAGACGGTGTACGAGTCGGGTCGAGGTCCAAGGGAATCGATGAGGAAGTTGGTCTGGGTAACTTGGTGGGGAAGGGCTTGTATAAGTGAAGTGAGAAGTTTAGGATTATTCAAATGAGGATACTTTGAGGTCAAATAAATACTAGTTTCTGGTGGGAGTGGTGGATGGGAATTAGGATTTAGTTGGGATAAAATGAAATTGAGAAGAGGGTAACGATCAGGGTTTGGAAGGGGATTCATTTTGTGAGAGAAGGATAGGGAGATGAGAAAGTGAAGGCGCTGTTTAGGAGTGGAAGGTTATGCCACTAAGAATAGGCAGACTGCGTAAAGTTTCTAGCATGATCGATGGCTTGATCTGATCGCTGCCATCTGTAACAGAATTTGTCTTTTAAAATAATTTTATAATATCGACTGGAGTGGGGCAGTGCATTGTACAAAAAGGCATCTGACGAAGTCTTGAGCAACTCGCGACACTTTTATGAGTTTATCCTGTTGGCGTCTAGAATTATTGTAAAATTAATTAATTATAATAATATTTATTAATCATTAAAAATATATCATATAAATCATTATTATATGTATTGATATATATCTTTAGAATGATAGAATCGAAACGAGAGTATCAAGTATCTCAAATCTTGATAGTGAGAACCCTATGAACAAATATGATAGTTATTCTAGAAATATCTGTAGCCCTAGTATTATTATAATCAAGGACATAGATAATACGGTAAGACTATCACAGTGTTAAATGACTCTGTCGAAAGACAGTGACTAATATCACTTGTTAAGGTTGTTTACTGACAACCAGGTGTAATACATGGGTACTTGCTATAGGCAAGTTCACTGGACTAACACACTAGAGGATTCCATATAGATGGTAACCCTAGTGTCTATGGAACAAATCCTCTAACAAATGATGGTGCATGTGATCCTTAGACTTGAGATCACTGGAGCGCCTTGTGCACCAATCGGTGTAGTTTGACACTAGCCCAACACAGTTCTATTCAGAGTTATCAATACGGTAGTGATTGACTGCATCGATGAGTGTATCAAGACTATGGTGGATCGACAGATGATTCATCACTTTTGGGTACGAGAGAAGTTATCTTACAACGCAGTTCAATTAATGACAATGACAATAAATCTGTGATCACAATGGGATTGAGTTGTTACTCAATCCAATTCATTATTCCAGTAATTTGTCTAGTAACTGAATACAAATATATCGAGAGTAAATTGAGGTTGACACTATTTCTATACCCCAGTCTCAATGAGATAACAGATGATGAAAGGATTTGATTGCACGGTAACCATATCGTTGACAGATAGCAATTTCGCTGAATCCGAATCTATCGAGTGGCCATGATACCTTGTTAGGGGCCAATCTTCGTCTGTGTGTAATGAGATAATTTATTGGTGTTAATCGCGATATTACTCACTGTCAGTATGATGATGAGCCTACAGGTCACACACGTAAAAGATAATTTAAGAATTAGTTTATGCAAGGGACATTTTCATCTTTTAGGATGAAATGATATTTTGGTAATCTCATAGTGCAATTAAATTTGTTGACGTTGTTGCCTATATTTAATTTGATGTTAAAATTAAATAAGTGAGATTATATTTAAATGGATTATTATTATTATTAAATTTTAATAAATATATTAATTGATTTTAATTAAAATAAAATATCATGTTTGGACATAAGGAGTGTTTGGACATAAGGAGTGTTTGGACATATGGGCTGTTTGGGTTGGAGTCCAAACCTATTCCTCATTGGATGAGGAATAGGGTTTTAGACATGCACTATATCAGTGCATGTGTATTAAGAGAAATTAACCTATGTTCATTTGTTCACTCATTTGAATGAAAGGAGGTAGCCCTCTCTCCTTTTTCTCTCTACTCTTACGCCACGCCTTTACTTTGATTCAAGTTGATTCTTGAAACTAAAGAGGATCTAGCAAATCCCTTTTGGTTTTTCTGGTTATCTTCGTGTGAATTATTGTTGGTTCGATCCTGTTCGTGGATCAATAGTGAAAAGATTTAGAGACAAGTTTGAAGGAGCCTCCAAACGTGCGTATGAACACTAAACTTTACTCTGATCGTTCATATTACTACAGATTTTTTATTTAACATATAAATTGTATAATTTGTGCCCTGATCTTGGTTTAATGGTAATGATCTATGCTTTAAAAGTTTTTGTTTTCCGCTACCATGAGTTAGATCGTTTTCAAACATATCCGATATCTAACAAATAAATAAATAATGTACAAAATTTATCTTGAATTTTATATACTTTTACTAAATTATTTATCTTTATATGATAAGAGAGTTATATTTTATATGAATTTAATATCTCTTTAAGAATTCCGAAAATTCTATAAATTCTTGACATCATTACAAAAAATGTTTTCCAATGTAAATAAATAATAATAAAAAAAAAACCAATTTCATATCCTCTAAAATGCAACAATAAATTCTCACTTATGGTTAGATGTACAGAATAACAACTAAATTTTTTTACGAAAAATCCAAATACTCCTAAATTCTTAATCTCATCAAGTTAGCAGACTGGGTTGGATGAGGCAAAAGGTCAATATGTGGGCAACGGTGAAGCAGCAAGGTTAGAGTGATGGGGGGGGGGGGGGGGGAGGAGGACTGGGGGCAGCTGGCAATTATAAAAAACACCACAACAGCAACACAAACACTTCTAACAGCAACCTACCGATCAAACACCAAAAAACCAACAAAACATGAAAGAAAAGCTGCAAAATGCGACTATCTCGCGACACAGATGCAAGTCACAGTAGCAAACAACGGTGGAGAGGGCTTAGTGGAGGGATGGGTTTTGAAGAAGAGAGGATGGAGAGTCGAATGGTGGTGACATGGGTGGTTTTCGATGTCAGAATTGGTTGACATCTAGCTAGAAAGTTGAGAAAATGCACAAAAGTGCAGTGGCATTGGTTGGTGATTTGAAGTGATACACTAATAAAAATCTCAACAGTGTAGAACAAAATCAATAGCAAAGAACACGCACAATCAACTCAATAGTAAAGTCTCCAAAAAGAAAGATACATGCTGCCACCATTAGCACCAACCAATCCCCACCGTTGACGCCGACACCAACACCAACACCACAACCCATATCACCATATACCCTTAATCTAACTGTGGAAACACAAATCTCTAAAAACCTTTGAATACTAACAAATCAGTACAACCTCTATTTGTGGTACTATGGGTTTATCTGGTTTTTTTTTTTTTCTTTTTCAAAATCATGGTTACTTGGTCTGTGGGCTTGGTGATCTTTGTGGGGAAGAGGAAGTGATCGATGGGATTCACAAGGGAAAACAGGTATGGTAGAGCTATGGGGAAGGAGAGAATCAAGTGGGTTGCATGGCAGTGCATGGGCGCCTGGTCGGTCGCTGCTACGTTGTGGTTGTTGTAGCGGCGTGAAGGACAGCAACCAAATCTCCAAACTCCAGTGGTCGCTAGGGTGAAGATGGGTTATGGGAAAGAGGAAATTCTAGTCAAAACTGGGTCAAATTCGGCTGGGGATGGAGGAGGATGGTGATGAGAGGCGAGATGAACTGAAAAATTGAAGGGAAAAAGAAAGAAAGCCAACGACGACGACTTTTGTAGAAGAAAGGTGGAAGATGAAGAGTTGAGAGAAGAAATATGAGTTTAATTGAAGAAAACTGTTAAAATGACATAATTACCCTTCATTTGTTTTTGAATTTACTATCTTAACCTTCTTCAGTTAAACTAAATGAACAAATATTAACAAAAAGTAAGTGTTTGTCATTTCTAAACTTTTTGGGTACCAATTTGTCTTTACGGCAAACTATAGGTGGGTGCATGTCGTTCAACATTTTTAAAAACACACATACTCAAGTTTCAAATAGTTGTCTCCAAATAATATTTTCCCCGGTATTGTATTAGTTCATTCATCAATGCAAAGTAGGTAAGGTAAATGTAAAATCAACTACCAAGAAGGAAATATTTGTCCATGGTAGTTTCCCCTCACACATATATATCAATAATTATAATACATTCACATGATCCAGGGCGTTTCTACTAACCTACAAGATAATTGAAAAAGTGAAGCAAGAACTGGCTATAAGTAATAAAGAATTCAGCTCTTTAACTCAGATCCAATACAAATATTAGAAAAAAGAAACACAAGTGAATGGTAAGTAAGAAAGTATCTCTCAAAACACTAGGTCAAAATTTTGCATACTATCGTAGCTCAACAATACAATAATTGTGCTTCCTCTCACTACCAATATCTACAGTTATATCTTATGACTGTAAAATTGACATTGTTACTCATTAAGAAATCAAATTTAAGCAATACACTTGACACTCTCAATTGACAACTTTTTGTCTCTCATCTGGATCTTCTAGCTCAACTTGAAAAATTTTAATTTGAGATATCAAGATTCAATTGAATTGTATTGATGTCAACTTAACCATGCAGAAACAAAATGTGCCATGGTCAATGACAATCGTAATCTATCTTCTAAATCATAAAATCTTTTTTTACCTTTCTTCTTCTTGAGGTTATGTGTGATCTCTTGAGCAACAATAATATTGTCAAAAATCATTCTGCATGGGATGAAGAAGCTTGATTAGGACAAACAAAGCTATTCATATTTCCTTTAGGTCTTGAGACAATGATTTTGGATTATTTTGTAGATGATGGTGCAGAGGCTTATAGGGTGGATGTGGTTCACAGTTGTAGGGTTAGGGATTTTGGGAATATGGGAGATTAGGGTTTCATTAATAGTAGAGGAAATCGAACATGAGTTGAAGCTTTCTAAAACGATATCAATGATCTCTACCTTGCAAGTGTCCCAATTTTTTTTTAAAGAAACTAGTTGGGAATCCATTGAAGCCAAGAGGTTTCCAATTGGTAATGCTAGAAAGATTCATATGAATTTCCTCTATTGAGATAGACACATACATAAGCCTCCAATCATCATTTGATAGAGTGGGGAAGAAATTGGGAATCGAGCTATCATTAGTAACATCAAAAGACATAGGAGAATGAGTAACAAGCAAGAAAAAAGTGTTTGCTTGATAAGATTATAAGAGAATCTTTGTCATCCACCCAAGTGCCCTACTAGTTTTAAAGGCCCTCAATTTTATTTTTCCTTGTTCTAATGAAAGAATTTGGTATTTCTATTTACATAATCAAGCCAATTCTTCCTGGATTTTTGCTTCTAGAATGTAGCCCTTGATCATGACTTCTTTTAGTTCTGCAGTAAATTCTTATTCAGATGAACTAAAAAGGGGTTCCAACCATTGCATGTGGCCTTCTAAACACCTGCTAGCTAAGCACGGAGAACTGTTTTTCTTTGAAAGACATTTCC